GTTGCTGCTGCTGCTGGTGTAGTTGCTGATGCGTCGACCAGGCATCGCTCATGAGGAACTTGTCGAGCTGTAGTTGCTGCTGCTGTTGCTGCTGTTGCTGCTGTTGCTGCTGCTGCTGGTGTAGTTGCTGATGCGTCGACCAGGCATCGCTCATGAGGAACTTGTCGAGCTGTAGTTGCTGCTGCTGTTGCTGCTGTTGCTGCTGTTGCTGCTGCTGCTGCTGCTGAAGCTGGAATTGCATCGAGCTAGCACTGTCCAAGCGCGCGCCAATAGGCGACATCGAGCGCGGATGCTGCGGTGGCGCACCCATCGGCGAGTTGAGCGTGCCGAGACCATTGAACGCGTTGAGAGCTCCGAGTCCCGTGAGACCTCCGAGGCCCGCGAGGCCGTGCATGCCGCCCAACTGAGACAGGCCATTCATGAATGGCTGCTGCTGCTGCTGCTGCTGCGGGGGTAAGCCGAACCCGCGCACCTGCTGCTGTTGCTGCTGCGCCGTCTGCTGCTGCTGCTGCTGCTGCTTGTAGGTGAAGCTGACAAAGTCGGTCGGCGACGTGCGCGTCTGCTGCGGCGGCAGCGGCAGCGGCGGCTGCTGCTGCTGCTGCATGCTCTTGCGCGGCGCGGCCGACTTGATCTTCGTCGAGCCGAACTTGGTCTGAGCGAACTGCGCGGCGGTGAACTGAGTCATCTGCGGCGCCGACCGCGGAATGAAGTGGGCACCACTGGGGCTGCTCGGCGGGTAGACGTTCTGCGGCGACGCGTCCCTGCTGCCACCGCCACCGCCGTAGAATCCCGTCGCAAACGCGTCCGAGTGATCGATCGGCTTGAATGTCTGCGCTTCCGGGTTGAAGCAGACGCTCGTCGTCGCGGCGACCATCACCGGCGGCAGCGGCACGTGCTCCGGCTCCGGCTCGCTGTACATGACCTTGACGACGCCCTTCTCGCCGATGCGGTAGGAGACCTCGCGCGGGTCCGTCCAGATGCACATCTCCGGCGGCAGGTTCGTCTTGATCTCCTCCTCGCTGAGTCCGCTCGCCGCCGCTGCCTTCAGGATGACCGGGTCCAGCTCCTTCTGGCCGACACGCACACAGCGATAGCCGCTGCCCTTCGACGGCCGGTCCGGGTACCAGTGCCCGTCGAACTTGCGCTTGATGCCCTTCAGCAGCTCCTCGCCGAAGATGGTGACGCGTCGCCGTGGCAACTTGTTAAACAGGTACGAGATGATGAAGTTGAGCGCCACCTGGATCTCGACGTGCGTCGTGCCGTCGCCGGCATCGTCGGCGAGATCGTCGACGTCGGACCCGGGGGCCGCCGGCGGCGTCGGCGGCGGAGGCGTGTCGCTCGAGTCTGCAACGAAGCGAGAGATGGCGGGATGAGGATGCTGCGTCGTCGGGGGAAACGAGGAGACGGATAACACCCGGCGATCCCAGGGGAGGGCAGAGTGGGTGGGGGTGGGAGGGCTTCATCGGTCGAGTGATTAGCAACGGGAGACACCCCGTGCTGCCGTGGGTCGTTCGTGGATTCAGGGGGACCCTCAATCCCCCCAAAGAAAAAATACAGAAAATGATCAGGAGTGAAAATATGCGGATTACTCATTCCTGAACATTTCAAAAGATCTACCTACTACTTCACCTATCCCTACACAAATTTAGAGGCAGGGAAATTGCCCTCTAAAGTGCTAAAATGCACGGTGGGACCCTGCTAGGGGGTGCTTACAGCATTCCACGAAGCCTCCCTTCCACATGGCTCGTCTAGGCTCTACGAATGTTTCACGTCGTAGGCTTCTCGCCACGTAGTGAAAAGCGAGAGGGTAACTTGAGGCTACTTCCTATACAGTTGCCTTCCTACTGCAGGTGTTTATTTCATGACTAGATAACGTAGAAGCGTCACACACGACTGGGAGAGCGAGAGAGAGAGAGTGAATAAGAGAGAGAGAGAGAGAGAGAGAGAGAGAGAGAGAGAGAGAGAGAAAGAGA